GCAAGAGAAAGCCAAAGTGAAAGTTACGCTTCCGGAAAGCTCTCGACGAGGACTCTCCAATGCCGTCGCTGTTTTCGCTGCAGTGCAACAATCCAAACTCGGTCCCCAGGGTGTATGGTATCTTACGTCATGCAACCTACAATTGGACCTTCCGAGCTTGTAGCGGGGAGGCTGTCAGGACTTCACCCCGTCATGCGTACTTGACGGAGTTCACCACCACACGGCAGCCGGAAATACCGCATACCACATGGTTCGCCGAGGAACCCCGCCTTCTATTCACGCGCCGTACCTGTTGGCTGAATTGCTGCTGCTGCTGCTGCTGCTGCTGCTGCTGCTGTTGCGGTGGCATGGCCACCTGAGGGTAGCCGACATGCGGTTGCTGAAACGGTGCCGCCGGGGCCACGCCCACTCGACCTCCATGTTGCTGCTGCTGCTGCTGCTGCTGCTGCTGCTGCTGCTGCTGCTGCAGTTGGATTTGTTGGTGGAGCCGCTGTTGCTGCAGCATCACCTGCTGCTGTTGCAGCATCAGCATGTGTTGATGTTGCTGCTGCTGCTGCTGCTGCAGGTGGTACTGCTGTTGTTGCTGCTGCTGCTGTAGCAGCAGCTGGAGATGGTGCTGATGCCGTTTCTGCTGCTCCGCCGCATCCAGGAGCCGCTGCTGCTGCTGCTGCCACATAGCCCGAACCGCATCGCCCTCCGCGCCGCCGCCCGTGGGCGGGGGAGGTGGTGGAGGAGGCGGGGGCGGGGCGCTAACCGCCGTCCCCCCGTGCTGCTGCCGCGGTTGCTGCAGCTGCTGCCCCCCCCAACCCGTCATCTGGGGTCCCACCAGCGGCCCCCCGGAATTTCGAACACTTCTCGGCTGCTGATATTGTTGCCCTTGAGGTCGAGGGTGGGCTGGCATGCCACCCTGGCTTGCCGGATGCCCCGGGACACCCCCCGAACCCCCAGGCGGCGCGCCCGGTCCCTTCATAGCTTCACCCGCCGAACTCGTTGCCCTCGCCGCCGCCGCCCCTGCGGCAGCGGCGCCCGACGGCGCTTGGGGCGAAGGCTTCCCCGCACCGATCAGGTTCATGAGATGCCTCCCTCGGCTGCTAGCGGCAGCGGTGTCTGCGGCCGTGCGAGCGGCGGCTGCCGCCGCCGCCGCCGTCGCCTCATTGGCAGACGTGGCCTGGGGACCGGTGCTAGCCTCCTGGGCCTGCTGCGGTTGCACCTGCACTTCGACCTTCGCGGGAGAGGGTCCCTCCCCTCCTCTCTCTGTACCTCCCCCGGCCGCCCCTCCGGTGCCGACACCGCCGCCGCCGCCGCCGCCACCGGAGGCAGGAGCGGCGACCGTATCACCAGGTAGGGCCGACGCATTAGCATTAGTG